GCTTTTGTTAATTTTAATGCCTCTAATATTAAACTGATCTCTTTTAATAGTCTTAGAAAACCTTTTTTTTTTACTTTCTATCAGTGTGGCTAAAGCTAAACCCGAGAGAGTATTTTATTGCACCTTCTTCATTTAATGTTTTCCCCTGATATGAACTGGAAAGATTATATTGAGACAATTGCTAAGTCTGCTAGAAGGAAAGTTTGTTTACTGTGTCAAGCTAGACGATTTTTCTCAACAGAATTTATCTTGCACCTTTATAAGTCTACAATCCGTATGTGCATTGAAAAATCTTGCCACAACTGGGTTGGTGCTTTTACTATGTATCTAGAAATTCTTGACCTGATCCAAAGAAGAATCTGCAATTTTATTGATCCTGACCTGGCATCTCTGCTTCAATCACTTTCTCACTGCCATAATATAGCTTCCCTATATCTTTTCTATAAATATTTTTATGGCAATTGTTCTGATGAGTGTTCTTTGGTACTTTGATTTCATGAATTTAAGTATAATACTAGATTAGCAGAAGAGTTATGGAAGAAAGATTTATTCTCTTATTTCCTCCATTATGAGCATTATTATATCCATGATATAATTACATCGTACTCCATGGATAGAACAGAATGGATCAAAGGAAAAGGAATGACAAATATGCTGTATTCTCAGAGAGACTTTTATACTACTAAGGCATCCACAAAAATATGTATATATATATATACATACATACATGTGTCCAACACAGAGAAAATAACATATATCTATACAGCAAAGAAGAGTGTAAGGAGAAACAAAAAAGAAGAGTCTTACATATAATATGGAGATACTCCTATTTCTGGAGAAGCCATGTTTAGGACTCCTGACTCAAATAGGCCAGATTCATCTACTATGTCCCATGTGAGAATATATTCCATGAACAGGAAACAGTCAGTCTTGCATTTTCCCAAATTGAGCACTGGGAGCTGGAGTTTCTTTCTGGAAAAGATATATTACCAAAGGGAAACGGCAACATATGCTTGTAAGCTGCTGGGAGAAGCAGATTTAGCTTCAACCTGGGCTCCTTGTCCAGACTAAAAGAAGCAACCACTCACTTTGGCTGCTGTAAACAAACTGAATGACTGGCTACTCTCATCACTGTATGGAGTGACATCACTAAGCAGCCATTGCATAACTCATGGAATTTATCTCCACCAAAGAGAGATAATCACCATCTGTATCCCTACAAGCTGAATTCCACTGAATTTTCCTTTCTTAGTTCTTTTCTTGCCCACTTAACAATAACCCTACAACCTTTCATTTTTTTTAATTACAATACAGTTCACCCTGTACAAAGCCCAGGGCCACTTGAGATAGAGGTTACATTAAGAGGCAGTTTTTATGGATAGGAGGGGAAGATAACTGTTAACTCTAGACTTGAACAGGTTAAGATTGTAGCGATTGGGGAAACATGCTCTTGGGAGTTTGTTCTACAGAGCGTGAGAAGAATCTGTTTGAGTGGAACTTACTTATCTCCAATGGTATATGGAGGGAATGTAGGTGGTTTGCTATAATATAAGTGGCATGGTGGGTTCTAGACATGAAAGTTCAGACAGGCAGAAGCAAGTGATGTAGTTCATCAGAGCACTTTCCAAGGAAATAGCGATAGAGCACATTCTGCTTGTGAGAGAGAGGTTGGAGGGTGAAAAATAATTTGTCTCTGACAAGGACTCAGACGCTTTTGAACTCTATCAAGACTGGAAAGTGAGGACTTGGCAGCTCTCTCTCAAATATGACAACAGTATTTCCATTTTTGGCCTGATCTGGCTCTTGTAAAGGAATGAGGAGTCAGTTACTTACTAGAGTGGTACCTGCATCTTTAACAATGGATCATATGTATGAGTTCCACTTAAGGTCAGGTGTGAGTTTGAGGCCTAATAGTCTCTCAAGGCATGGTGCCTCCTCGAGGGGGGCATCCATTCATTGTGTAGTTTGGGATCTGATAAGCAGTGGTGGATTGTAACTAGTTTGGTAGTTCTACAATGTTCTCTGAAGCTGACAGATGGGTCCACTGATGGAATCAACAGCCATGTGTGCATGACCAAAGTGAGCCTTCATACGACATCCGCTGTCGTTTAACCTGGTGAGGGATAGACTCTGCCAGGTCTACTTGCTCAAGATATGCTATGCATGAATGAATACCTCTCTGGCTTTCAACCCATATATGTGCATTGTAGTGGAGAAGTGGTCAGTTGCATAGCAATCCTATGGCCACACCTGATCACGGGACTGATGACAGTCACAGATAATAATTCCTTTAATTGCATGTTCCCATTTTTATGATCATTGTTATTATTATGCTAGTTATTAGTATTATCTCTTCATCTTCTTTTATATTCTCTCTTATTAAGATACTAAAAACACAAGGTGAAAAACAGTTTTCATTCAAGTACTATCCTATTTAATATTTGGCATTGTCTGACCAGAGTGAGAGACAGATCTGTATGAGGATGAGGTAGAAGCAATAGAAAACTTTATCAAGTTCTGTGACCAAAACATTAGCAATTCTTGCACTGAAGATATTAACAGCTGCTGGATTAGGAATTTAAACCAGTTGAAAAACATTATTCAGTGGTAAACACTGATGAATACTACAGGAATAGCTAAAAGTTTGGAATTTCAAAAAACTTTATTTTGCTTGCACATGTCAACTAAATAAAAAGAATAAAAAATATATACAGAATATCCTTGCCATTGCTTTATATATATCTATAATAAATATATATAAATATATGTATCTATAATAAGTATATATAAATATATATATATCTATAATAAATATATATAAATATAAAAGAGTGCACAGTGAGTGCTGGTGGTAATAAAACAGTGATCAATGTAAAATAACTGAGCTAAAATTTATACTACTAATATATATATATATATATATATATATATATATGGCAGACTCTCCTGTCGTATTCAATGTATGAGGGTCAAACAGCTCAGTTTCTAGGAACCGACAGCCCAAACACCAGCACATATGATTTGATTATAGTGGCTTTTTTTGAAGGGCTGAATACAGAGAGTGGGTGAACTACGTGCCACAAGGTCCCTAAACGACCCTCCGCAGGTTTTGAATTTAGAGTTGTCCTTCTCCTAGACCAGTTGCCATCCAAGACTATAGAACTCAGTCTGTCCTGCTATTTACACAGCTGGAGGGAGAAGAAGAGGTTTCATACCTTTCCCAAGGGGATTAAAACGTAAGTGAATGTAATGGATTCGACTGGAATTCGAACTTGGCTCTGCGATTCATCAATCCAAGCAACTATCCACTACTCCACCATGCCTCTTTGATATATATATGGAAATGATCAGTATAAAAATAAGTATACACAATATGCTTATATTATTCAATGAACCATGTTTGAATGAAGATATGCTAAATATATATATATATATATATATATATATATATATATATATATATATATAGGTACAATGAGAACAAATACAGTACACTTCCAACGTTTGCAACATTTAATTTAAAAGAGAGCTCAATACATAGTAGAGCAACATTATTTATTTTAGGATATTGCAACAAAAACATGTAAGAATTGCTACACAATTGTAGTCGTGTTTCAACACATAATAATGCATCTCCTCAGGTGATTGTAAATTACTGGTGAGTGAATTAAATTGATTTTAAATTACTGGCAGGGAGATGTATTGCTATGTGTTGAAACATAACTGCAATTGTATAGTAAATTTTACACGTTTTTGCTGTAATATCATAAAATAAATAAATATATATGTCTATATTATTCAATGAAACATGTTTTGAATGAAGATATATTGCCTATATATATATATATATATATATATATATATATATATATATATATATATATATATAGGCAGCATATCTTCATTCAAACAAGTTTCATTAAATAATATAGTCATATTGTGTATACTTATTTTTATACTGATCATTTTCCAGTTGTCTTTCTTGATGCTGAGATGAAATCCATTAAGGAAGGTGCCATAGATTTTTAATCCAAGTACTTTTGACCTTTTTTAAGATCATCTTCAGGGCTAAAATGCAAAGACAAACATTCTATTGTAACTGTGATAAAAAATTTGTAAAAAATTCCATGATTAGAACAGATAAAATTTTAAAATTCTAAAGTAACTATAACAATGTGTTTGTGCATGTTTTTAAAAATCACTATGACAACAGAACGCAGATTTTATTGTAATTATAATATATTTGTCCTTCTTAATGGTCACTCCAGTCGTTTGTTAAATCCAGGTGTTGCTCTTCTTCTCATGTAAGGTGATGCCAAGCATGATTCATTCGATTCTATATGGGGCCACTGCAAGAGTTTCTGCAGTGGTCGCATTGAGCACCTATGTCTCTTTTCCATAAGTCATTACTGGCAGAACATATTCATTAAACAAATTTCTCTTGGGAGTTCTCATGATGTTATAAACTTTTCCAAAAGCTGTCCAACCAAGTACAAGTCTTATTTTGACCTCCAAAAGTCAGGCACCATTTCTTGCAATCTTCTGGATGGTCTTTCCAGCTACAATAACTGGTGATGACATGGCTGTTACACACAACCTTGGTTTACCAAAATGCATGTTAAGGCCCAGTAGTTGACTTACAGTGTAGACAGTATTGAGTATCTCTTCCAATTCTTGTGGTCTAGTAGGATGATGACATTTGTGAAGTCTAAATCTAAGTGGCAGATGATTGTGTGATTAATTTTCCATGGCTTATTAAATCTTTGCAGGTTATTTAAAGCCAGAAAATATTTTTAGATTGTAAGAATATTTTAGGTAATAATAGTTTAGTGATGCAAGTCTTACTAATTAACCCATAACTGGGGGAGAAGAGGCAGATTCATACCTTTCCTAAGGGTATGTGTACATAATTGAATATAACAAACCCAACTGGAATTGGAACTTTGCTCTCTGATTAACAATTCCAAGCTATTATCCATTACACATCCCATATATCTAAGCTTACAGCACTTGGTTTTCCCAAGAGGTTACCCATCTAGGTATTCACCAGGCTTGATGTTGCTTAACTTTGGTGATCATACAGGAACTAGCATTTCAACATGATGTAGCCATAAGTAGAGGAGTTCACCATGTTGATATCCTTGTTCTCCTATGTTCCTATTTAACATGAATATATCTTTGACTGGTAAAGTGTAGTATTTGTGAAGAAAATCTTTAAAAATTCATATAAATTATGATTTGATGAAATGAACAAATTAGACAGATTCAAATTATAACGTACACATTATTAGAACATATTCTATTAATTAATTAATTTCAGGCAAAATATAAATGTCTTTTTATTGAAAATTATTAATAAGATACAGTATCCCTTTTGAGTGGATACCAATTTAAAATAAAATATAATTAATCTATAATTTATTGAGAAAGATAAAAATTACACAGCATTGAAAACATATATCAAATTGATCTTCTTTTAAGCATGAATTGTTATTAGAAATTTTATGCCTTTTATACATTCAAATAGAATTAAGCATTTTTTGTTAAATATTTCTGTGCATTTAGTGTCTACTACAACATCCACATGTGAGGTATAAATAAAAGTATAAAGATAAAGAAGGCGCTTATCTTTCTTTCGTGGAGATAAGTTATGTGGGTCATGCAACAGCCATTTAGTAATGTCACTCCATACCATGACAAAAGTGGCTGTCAATTTCAGTCAGTTTACAGTAGCCAAGTAGAGAGATTGCTTTCTTTAGCCCAGGCCCCCGTGACCTGAGTAGAGGCTAAATCTACTTCCTCATCAGCTTACAAGTCCATGGTGCCACTCTCCATTGGGAATATGTCTTTCCCTCCCAGATATAGAAAGAATCACCAGCCCACAGTCTTCAATTTGAAAAAATCCAAGACTTGCTGTTTCTTGTTCATGTTAAATGTCCTCACCTGGGATGTAGTAGATGAATCCAGCCTGTTTGAATCTGGAGTCCTAAACATAGCTTCTCCAGACATAGGAGTATCTCCATATTATATGTTAGACTCGTCCTTTTTGTTTCTCCTTCTACTCTGCTTTGCTGTATAGATATGTTATTTTCTCCACATGGGACATGTGTATATATGTATATATAGTTTTGTGTATGTCTTGGTGGTATAAAAGTTTCTCTGAGAACAAAGTGTGTTTATCATTTTTTTTTCCTTTCAGCTATTTCGTTCCATCAATGAATTACAGTGCTATTATTTCATGGATATAATAATGCTCATAACGGGTGGGGGGGAATGTAAATGGGAGAATAAATCTTTCTTCCTACCCCCCCCCCATTATAAAAGGATGATGTATCAAGTAGTAAGCTAGAGTTCAAGTAGTCTGTATGATAATACAAGTAGCAAGTGGATGTAACAGTTTGGGTCAGTCATTGAGAAATCTTCCTGTGTCTCATCTGTTTCCTGTCATATGAAAGCTGTCTTCATAAGAAGAAACTGTACTATATAAAAAAAAATAATTTTTGTTAAACACCTCAGCAATTTCAAGAATATAAAAAATTTTGCTTCCTTCTTTTTTTTTTTGTTGGTGTTTGAGTTGAATATTTTTACTAGACCAATTTTTAACTCCCTTAACTTTCCGCAACCTAATTACAGATAAATGTACTGATTTTTTTTAATTTTCAAGATTTTGGTTCATTTATTTCAAATCAAAACATTCTGTGTAAATAATTAAAAAACTTTTCAAATCAAGTTATAGTTTCATATGATTTTCAAGTATGAGTTTAAAAAACTATAAACAGTAACTTGTAGAAGGTTGTTAGCAAGGTCGGTGTGTACTAACTCTGACCCCTCCCTACGCCAACCAGTATTCAAGGGAAATCTTGATTGAGGGCCCCAGGTAGTGCTTTGGAGACCTTGCTATCTTATCAACATTTGCTTTTTTTTTAACCTACATTTTTATATGTTACAAATTAAACTAAGTACAACTGACTACTAAAAGATGAAAACTTTTTGTAGATTTTGTTGTCATTCTAAGTTTTTTTTCTTGTCCAAATCCATGAATTTTTTTGCTCATACAAAGTCTTGAAAAAACAATATATAAAATTCACTATTATATAAAATTCACTATTTTTTATCTATAGCATTGAATGTGCTAAAATTATTCAACTTTTTAACAAGAAAAATCTTTAGTTGATGTTAAAAATTGCCGCAAAACATTGCTGATTTATTCAAGATGGAATGATCTATTATGATGTGTCTCTAATTTGTATTTAGATACATTGTATTTATTTCAATTTGTTTAGTTGAATTTTTCACCTGTATTGCATATGATCCATTACTGTACATAATGAGGTTACAATAAAATTTGTATTTCATATGAATACTACCTTATGAAAATTGAGATTTACTAGAGTGGGGGGCCTCCATATCTTAGATTCACAAGACCTTGGTTGTAGTGGTTAAAAATTGGCCTTGTAAGAATATTCAACTCATCCACAAAGAAAATTGAAAGGAAAGTAGATAAAGTATAAACCCCAAATTTTTATAACCCAGAAATTGTTGAGGTGTTGGTTCTTCTTTTTTAATAGTCTTATTTTTTAATAAGAAATCTTCTTAAGACAGTGTTCATGAAACAATGAATAGGATAGACATAGGAAGATTTTTTAATGACTCCATGTAAAACTTTTACTTTGACTGCAGACTGACATTGATACATTGTCCTTTTATTTATACTTGGTGGATGGACATAGTAGCAGACACTAAATGCACTTGAATATTCAACAGAAAAAAAAAAACTTGGCTTAATTTTAAAGTTATTACTTGTCTAATAACTTAATAAATTTACATGCTTAAAAGCTGAAACTTTGTAACTAAATAATTTGATACTATTTACATTATTCGGACTATTGTCCTCATCTTTGTTGCCATATTTATCACAACATTTCGGCTGATGTACGCTCCGGCCTTCTTCAGGTGGTTTGAATGTCAAACAGAACCCTTTATTTCACTTGTTCTACTTCCACCTGCCATGTCTAATGGATGTCAGTTATCTCCTGTTAATTTCCCTCTCCAAGTTCTCCACTGCCTTAACCAGATATTGAACTCACACTCTTTGGGTTCTTTCACTGGATCTAATTAACGCCTTCATCCACTGTGCCATGTGTCCTGGATCTGATGTGTCATCTCAGAAAATATAGACAGATACTAAATAATTTGATATATATTTTAAATGCTGTGTAATACTTATCTTCCTCCATAAATTATAAGTTAATTAAATTTTATTTTAAGTCAGTAACCACTAAGTAGAGATATAGTATCTTATTAATATTTTTCATTAAAAAGAGATTATTGTTTTGCCTGAAACTGATTAATTAATAGAATATGTTCTAATAATGTGTCTGCTATAATTTAAATCTCTCTAATTTGTTCATTTTACCAAATTTTAATTCATATGAATTTTGTAAGTTTTTCTTTATAAAACACTACAAACTAATTATCATTTTAAAGTTTCCTTTTACAAAATTTGTGAAAATTTCAAATTTAATTCTACTATTTTTGTAATATTTGACTAAATGGCTATTTTGCTTAATAACTTCGCTTCATAGTTGAAATTCTTTTGTAATCTATTTCTTTGAGGTTTCATAAAGAGAATGAATATTTCTTTGTGTGTGCTGCTAGAAAATAGATCTTGTTTAGACAGAAATCAGAGTTGTGGCCCTTGATCTTCTAGAATAGTTTTCCTCTGTTACAAAAGAGAAAAAAAAAAACACACCACAAAAACTGTTTCCTATTTCTTTATAGATATGGTCTATAGGCTAAATAAATTGAAAGTTATTAAGAAAAAATAATTTTGATCATCACAATTCTATTTTTTCTATTTTTATTAAAAAAAAATAAATGGATAAGTAGTTAGAAATAGTAATGTTCTATGAATTTAAAATTTAAAACATTAAGATTTATTTTTCTGTAATTAGCATCTTTTTTTATGTATCCTTCAAATTTATGGTAAATAATTCTAAATTCTGAACTTTTTGATGGAGAAAGACAAAGGGGCATAATTCTATCTTAAAGCAAACAACTGTTAAATAACACAACTCTGCAAAATAAATATACTTCAATTTGTAAGTAGAGATTTATTTTTATACTTATGAAAACAAAAATAAGACATTTACAATGTTCTCATCACATCACATATTAAAGCAAAATTAAAAAGAAATTTAATGAAAATATAACAAATATATATATTTGACTAAAATAACAAGTCAATCATCAATACTTTAGCCTTGTACCACACTAAACTATGCTTTGATGCCTGTTTATAAACATAAGCTGCATTTCTTTTGTAATTGATAAATTAGTCTTATATTTATTATTGTTTGTTTTTTCAAAGGAGTAGGGCCTTTCAACTGATACTATTTATGCATATTAAGTAGTTATAGGAGGGTGCTTTACCTAAGTGTCCAGTGACCCTCCCCCGTCAAATGTACATTGGTGACAAGCCATTTTGTCAAAATATATGGTGATGGGATTAAGTACAAGGAAATGAGAATTCATGCCATTCCCAATGTTAGTAGTGTGAAATGATTGATTGATTGACCTTATCAACCTAGGTTATTTAAAGTCAGAAAATATTTTTAGATTGTAAGAATTTTTTTTGAGATAATAATGGTTTAGTGATATAAGTATTACTAATTAACCCACATACTATACTATAGAAAGCTCTCTTGAGAGGCATAATATAGTAATAGGATGAGTCCATTTAGTCTATAAAGGAAAGGTCCCATAACAGTAATTAACCTATAGCTGGAGAGAGAAGAGGTGGATTCATGCCTAATCAGAATTTGATAAACAAATTTTAATGTGGATCTAAAATGGGGGATCTAGTCTATGATACAATCAATATATAAACTGACCTTCACTTTATGGTCACAATAGTTTCTATACATTTATACTCCATACAATATAAATACTTCTAAGAGACAATTGTGTGTAGCTAATCACTCTTTCATTCATTCATTGATTCATTTTCTATGGTTTATCAACCCTTTGTAGGATATTTAAAGTCAGAAAATATTTTTGAATTGCAAGATGTTTTGGAGGAGATAATAATGGTTTAATGATATGTCTTAC